CCTTCACATAGCAGCGCCGGCTAAAAAAATCGACAGTAGAGGTCGGCCGTAATAATTAGCCACAATAATTAGCCACAATAGTTGGCCGCAATAGTTAGAGGCGGCCTTCCTTAACCATAGAGGTTCTAAACTTTAATAGTAACATAGAGGTTTCCAGAGAAAGGGCTAAATAGGCTAATATCTACTACTCTTTTACCATACTAAAGCTTATAAAAATTCTTTCTATCCTCATCGCTTCTAACATCGCCCAAAGCTCCATTCAAACTAAACAAATCCACTAAACAAATCCACTAAACAAATCTACTAAACAAATCCACTAAATAAATCCACTAAACAAACCCATCAATACACAAACCACTACCTAAATAGCTAGTTAAACAACTAGTTAAAAAGTTAGCTAGTTAAAATACCACCTCGATAAGAACCTAAAAATACCCGTCAATAAGTCTACCCCTCTCGGGCTAGGCGCCCTCTTCGGCTAGCTCAACGCTATAGCTATCGTAACTAACATAAGCACGCCCAAAAAGTAATAAAATACCTTCCGAGGGTACGGAATTCAGCTAGGCAATATCATAAGCACTATAAATAGCCAGGCCAGTACGGATACTAAGATCTAATATATCAACGCCGGCCTAGCTATAATAATTATAATAAACGGGCCGGAGGTATACAGGGTCAGGGTAATAAGCCGGCGCCTTAGACAGCTCCTATAGGACCCCCTAGGTAATAATAATACCTATATAAAAGAATAGATTATACTAGACCTAGCTACCTACGCGGGCTAGTACTAGGAGGTCCTATGCGCGTTAGAGTGGGTAAAGCTTACCCTATAGGCAGCTAAAAGCGGCGGAAAGTTAGGAGCTATTTTAATTAGTAATTAGGTATAGAGCGCAATATACCCAATTTTCCCTAATACGTAATACACGGTACGGCCCCGGCGGATTACTCCGTCAGGGGGATTTTTATTTATATATATATTACGTTTTTAATTTTTTTAATAAAAAAATTAACTTCTTTTATAACCTCGCTTATTAACTTAGTTAGCTAAGTAAGGTTCGTTTTTAATTCTAAACTTTTAAAATTTAGGGTTAGTTCGGGAATAAATAGTTACCTACCTTATTTATTTAAAAACGAACTAGGCTTATTTATAGCCTTATTTACTTTTTATAAAATAAATATAAATAGTAATAGTTATTTTTTATTATTAATTAATATAACCTCTTTTTTATTTATAATTCTAAGTAATTAAAACTTAAGTTTGATTATTATAAATAGTTATTAAATCTTATTTATTACGGCCCTTAACTTAGGTAAACGAATTACGGTTTTAGTATTATTTTTTAAATAAAAAGCTATTTTATTAAACGTTATATTTTAAGTAATAATAATTTTTAAAAATAAGGGGATCTAGATTTTATATAAGTTATAAGTATTCATTACGTAACTTACGAAGTACTTAATATATTTTTTTTATTTTATTTTAAAGCGTCTTTTATTAATTCTTTTTTTATAATCCTTTTTAAAAAAGTACGCTCTATAGCTATATATATACGTTTATTCTTAATAAGGACATAGATTATAAGCGAACTTTAGTATATTTATTAGTTATTATTATTTAAAATAATAAGTAAATTAGATTTCTTTAGTTTAAACTAATAATAGCTAGTTAGTACGTTACTTAGGGCTAATATTATATAAGTAAGCTATAGTTAATATAGCTTCTATTTAGAGTTTATTTAATAAGTTAGCTACCGATATTATATTAATTGCTTTATTAATAATTTCTTAGTTAGCTCGTTCCCTTTTTCTATTTAGTTCTTTTATATATAGAGGAGTAGTTTTTAAATCTATTCTTAACTCCCGTACTTATATTTAAAAACGAGTTTTATTATTAATTATAATTACTATACGTTCTACGTCTTATTAAATTTTATAAATAACTATGCTTTTTTATATACGTACTTATTATTTAAAAAAATATAAGACCTTAAATATTATATTTTAAGTTTTTATAACTCGTAAAAAGATAAAAATCTTACCTAAATATTCGTTTTTAATTAATATTAGTTATTTATTTTATTTATAAGCTAGTAAGTAGTTAAAGAGGTCTTATAAGATTTTATAATAGGGTCGGGTTATTCTTTGTTTTAAAGTATATTATAAAATAACCTATTTTATATAAGTAGTTATATAATATTAGTATTTTAAATAGCTTAGTCCTTTAATTTTTACTTTTTAAGTAACTAGGACGAGCTTTTTAAATACTATTAGCGCGAGATATTTAAATTTAAAATATTAGAACTAGGCTATATTTAATTAGTTATTCTTTAATTAATATAAAGAACGTAAGCGCTATATACTACGTACTAAAATTATATTAACGAGTAAAAACTAATTTTTAAGTAGAGAATAGGATAAATAGGGTTTATATTTTAAAAAGATTAAATTAACTTTTTTTTTAAACTATTTAATAGTAACGTTCCTAAATTTATTACTAAACCGAAGGGTATAATTAAAACCTAAGTACTAAATACCCGTTTTTTAAAAAAGAGCTTTTAATATAATATTTATATAAAAGTTTTTAATAAAACCGATATTATAAAGGGTAAAGTACTTTATCCTAGGCCCCTTTAGTTTTATAAAAACATTCTATATAATCCTCGTTCCCCTAATAATAATAAAATAAAATACCGTTTTAAAATTTATATTCTCTAAGCTATTATTTTATTAAATAGAATCTAGCTTTAAAAGTAATTAGTTATTAATAAAGTAAATAGTATTATAATTATTTATAACCGTATTTTTAAAAAGAAAATATAGGCTAATAAAAAGAATAGAAAAAATAATAAGATTATTATTCTTATTACTTTCTATACTTAGCTTAGGGAATAGACTAATATTAATAATTATAATTATAATATTTAAGGAGTAGGTCCCCTTAGAGTTCTTTTTATTACTTAGCTTATTAATTTTAATTATTTTTTTAAATCGACCTTAGTTATTATTATTTTATTTAAAAAGGGGTTTTATATAGATCTAGCCCTTTTAAGCGAAGTTAGTATAAAAGTCGGTATACTTTTTTTAATTTAAATAAGAAATTATTTTTTAAGCCTCGTTACTACTTAGCTAAATATATTTTTACTTCGTTTTACTTATTAAAATAAGCTCTATTTTTATATAATTTATTAACTTTTAATAATAGGACCCCTTATAAAAGTAATTAATAAATAAGTTAAGAGTTACTTCGTTCTATTTAAAAAAATCTAAGTAACTTATTAATATTACGAATATTATAAAGGTTTATTTACGATTTTTATTATATACTACTTTTTTATATAATAAGTTATTAAAAATTTTAATATAATATTTTATATTAAAAATAGTTTCCCCTTTTTATTTTAGTTTAATAATATTAATAAGCTCTAAGTTAAATTAGTTTAAAATAAAGTAACGTGCGGTTATATAAAAAAAAGCTTTTAAAGCGAGGGTATTTTAAATTTTAAATAGCTTAAGCTATATTATTTAATAATAGGCTAAGAAGAAGTTTTTAATCTAAGTTAATAAGCTAATACTAGAGTTCGCCCTATTTATAACTACGTTAAATTCCTTTTTTATAATTATAAATAAACTAAAGTTACTTAGTACGTACTTTTACTTAAAAACCCGAATTATAATATAAAAAGAGTAGTTTAAAAAATTAATAAGTTCTTTTTTTATATCTTTTAAAATTTCTTAAGTAATTATAAAAAATATTTAGCGATTTATTAATTTATATAATTTTTTTTTTAAAAATAAAAGATTGTTTTAAATATAGTTTATTAAATAAAAGAGGCATATTCCTTAATAAAACGTACTTAGTTTACTATTATAGCCTTTAGTTTTATTAAAGTAATTAATTACTTAATTTAATCGTTTCTAATTAAGGGTTTAATTATAGTCTCGCTTTCTAGCTATTTAGTTTATTATTAAATAAACTCTTTAAGTTTTTATTAATATTTAGTTAAGGCCGTTTTATATACTTAATCTTAAGTAGTATTTTATATTTTAATATATTCCTTAATTAAAAAAATAAACTTTATAAAAAAAAACGGATTTAATAAAAAAGTATAATTATTTAAGTTTAAAAAGTCCTAAATATCTTTTAACTAAGCTTTAATTTATAAAGCGAGGTACTACTTTAACTAATCTCGTTAATAATTAAGTTTTTATTTAAAAATATTAATAATCTTTTTAAAAAATATTAGTTCGTTTAGAATTAAGCTTAATAACTATAATAAGGGTTAAATAATATTATAAAAAAGAATATAATAAACTATAATCCTTAAAAAGTAATTTTTTAATAAAAATATAGGGGTTTAAATTAAAGCTAAGCTTATAATTATTATAAAATTATTATAGGGGTATTAATATATATAAAAAGAACGGTTATTTATTAAAAATAAGAAATAGGCTCGAAGCTCGTTTTAATATAGAGGGTATAAGTAAAGTAGGCCTCGGTGATTATATAACCGAGGTCACGTGACGTGCGGTAAGGCTATGGATAGTTGAAGCTATCACGACAGCTAGTAAAGCCGGAAAAGGTCGCCAACACATAAAAAATTAGAGTGCATAGTAATTCGTCATACGGTATGAAGACTATTAGGCATGCCATTACCCTTCTTAAATCCAGCTAAGACCGGAGGTTCCAGGCAGTCACTCTCAATTCTGTGAGACTATTGGCGAGACCAATGAGCGACGGATGCGGCGCGGAACAAGGCTGTGTCGTCTTACGATTGGGGGGCGGGGCGACTTGACAAGACTCACACCGGACACATTCCCAAAGTGGAATCCCTTCTCTTTTGGATGCATCGAGCCGGTAACTTCGTTCGTAGGAACACCAATAAGGAGTCTCTCCGCCACACCCAAATGTTCCTTCTCGTCACTTTTGTATCTTGTTGGTTTGGAGGTTTCTCAAAAGTTGACATGTATCAGCCCTACTGGGCTGGCTGACATTGCCCAAAATGGCGTCAAGATACATGGCTGTGAAATGGCCGTATGACCTCGAAAAGAGGCAACATCAAGACAGAAGGATTGGCCCCCAGAGCCAGCCCGCGCCGAGGATGGAAGATGGCGGACATTAATCTGCTCGATGGAAAACATATAAATTAAAGAGCATTCTCGCCTGGTAGTCAACTTACAGAGACACCGGGCATCGCAAATCAACCTATTCCTTCACTAAAACTTGTCTTTACCTAGACTGGCTATCAAACTCCTTGTCTCTTTGAAAAAATTGTGTTCAAAAGCCTTCAGGGGTTTCTCTTTGAAATGCGCAACTACGAAAAGTTCACGACAGAGAGTGATCTCGAATCGGCAAAAGACGAATGTCTTCTATACGAAGATGAAGTTCTGCCCATTCACTTCATAGATCAGGCGGCTATTATTCGTAAAATCGTTTTCAACTATACCTTTCGCTATGACAGCGTCCTCGACGCTAGAAAGCTTCACGAAAGTCTACTCCAACTTGTGCATACGCCTGGATGGCGTAAAGTTGGCGGCCGTCTACGAGCCAATGTAAGTCATGATGTTCATTCTGATATCAAGAACCCGTTTACTTGCCGGTACTGACTGCCATCGTGAAATCGTACAGAGTGAAGGAAAACTCGAGATCCATGTACCACGCGTTTTCACCGAGACACGCCCTGCCGTGAGATTTTCCCACGTCGACCACCTCAACACCAACATCGACTCCCATCCCCTTGCTTCGAGGCTGCCCAAAGCAACAGGATCTACACCATCTTTACAAGAAGGTAGTCCAGCCTTCAAGTCTTTCGCTGCGCCTGTTGATCTGCGAAAGAACACCAACCATTACTTGAGGAGTGATGAGCCCTTGCTATGTCTTCATGTCACATCTTTCGCAGACGCTACACTAGTAGGACTCACCTATCCACATTCGCTCGCCGATGCCATGGGTATATCAGAGCTGCTCAAAGCATGGTCCAATATCATAGTGGGCAAAAGCTATCTGGTCAAGCCTCTTCAGGGCACTTATCGAGATGTGCTTGACAGCGCAGGAACAGACCACGATAAGGAAGTCTCGCAAAGAGAGTTCGCTTTAGAAAGTAAGCAAACTCGTGGCGTTGCTTTGGTGTCCTTCATTGCCAGATATGTATGGGATATCGCGACTCGCCGAACCGTGCAGGCTCGACACATCTATCTGCCCGCCAACTATCTGAGGCATCTGCGCCAAGGAGTCGAGCAAGAATTGAAGGAAACACATGGTGGAGTGGTTCCCTTCGTCAGCGATGGGGATCTCATCACAGCTTGGGGTTCTCGCCTTGTCATGTCGTCACGACCATGGAAGAGGTGCAGTGCAGTGATATGCAACGTATTCGATATCCGCCGGCGTTTGGAGAATACGTTTGCGCCCGAGGGCCCATACCTGCAAAATCTGATCCTTCCAGCAACGACTGTTCTATCCAGACAGGAGGCTGCCAACGCCACGACGGCACAGGTTGCTCAACATCTGCGCCAAGCCATCGCAGAGCAGACCAGCGACATGCAGACCCGAAGTCTCCTGCGTCTCGCACGTAACTGGTTTGCAGCTCTGGGTACAATGCCCCTGTTTGCGCGGTGGGATTCCCGAGTGATTGCCTGCTCCAACTGGACCAAGGCAAAATTCTTGGATGCCGCCGATATCAGCTCTGCTGCCTCGGGCGACGTTGGCGAACACAAGCCCTGCACTGGGGTGGTGGGGAACTCTGCGGCGGATGCGGCGCAAGATCATGTCAGACCAGTCATGTTCTGGGGCACCACCATGAACACGGATGACAAAACTCGTGACGCTTTTATGATATATGGCAAGGACGAATCTGGAAATTACTGGGTTCAGGGGTTTTTGAGAAAGGAAAGCTGGGCCCTGATTGAGGAGGAATTTCGACGCTTCGGAATGGATTCGAAGGAATCTATCTGACTTGGGGTACATCTTATCGGCGTCAGACTGAGCCACTGTAAGATACGAGCTGGCAAGAAAGTGTACTAATTAATCCCATGTTCCCACCCCTGCTCAAGTTTTGTTCCTCAAGTTTTGTTTCCAGCGGTTCCTAGGGCTGCATATGCAGGATGTGACTGACAGTTGGAAGAAACACCAACGACATGCTACTTCATCAAATTCAACCCGGGAAGAGGAAACTATGCGACAGAGTAGCATCGCAATTGGCCTGGCTGAAGATAAGAGGCGCCGCCAACAGTTGCATAACTGCACATGAGCGGCATAGCTACGGACGTAAACACGGCCGTAAGGCGGCGTCGACCTTCTAGGCTCCTATGAGCTCCTAGCCCCCACGCGCTGTTCCCATGACCGGGGAAGCAAGAAAAAAATTGAAATGCTCACGTTTCGGAAGGCAATTCGCCCACCGGAATTGGCATTTCCAAACTATCAGCAGGCCACCAGACGCCTCCGAAGTCCAAGGGGGCCACATGCAATCACCTTTGCCTGGCACTCTGGCAGCCTGTCTTTAGTAGGTCTGGTGTCCTGTATAAAACTCTGGCGGGTGGCTGAACTACCTCTTTCTCTAAGCGAATGACCTCCAATGAAACTCAGGAATTCGAGCCTCGCAAATACTTCGGTTCCCGTACTGTATACATCAAGAGCTCATGGCCCAACCGTTTCCACAAGTAGAGTCCCTCCGTGCTATCGATTGGAATAAGTATGACTCTTTCGTTGCTTCCGTTTACGGTTTTTGGCAGCGACTGGGGCAACTCCCTAATACGGCCTGGACACTCGACCTAGCCTATTGAGATGTAGAAAACTACGTCGTCAGAGTGACTTTTTCACTTCAACGACAAGTGAGGTAGACGATGATACCCGGCCAGACTTCAATTGAGTTATGGTAGAGTCAGATCAGTGGTCTCCCTACGATGTTCCAAGGGGCATGGCGCAGATCTTTGCCTTGTCCTGGTAAACGGTACTTGGATCATGCAGAATTCTGACTCTGCGCCGGCGAGGACTGGATCCGATACGCCGGTACTCAATAACACATTTTCCAAGATGCCCTGCGGTAACTGGGCATCCGTGCACATCCATTCCGACCAGACGTTGAAGAGTTGAGACAGTGAGATCGACAACTCTGGGAATGGGTGTCTCAACGCATTCGGCAGAGCTAATCCCCAGATCGCCAAGATCTGCCAAATCTTCAGGGATTCTGTGAACCCCAGCCTATTGTAAAAAGAAAGCTGCAGGCCGAATGCGTTATTCTTGAGTCTTAGTGCCGACAACTTTGACAACTATGGAAGTAATACCAAAAGTAGAATCTAACGACTAATACCGCATGGGGCACTCATAGCTCTCTAAACATCTATCACTTCTCATCGAACTCTAGATATGTCTCAATTGGTTTATACCCTCAGCTGAAAAAGAACGCTAGGACGTATTGCCGACATCATTTTTCGATTGAGATTCGGGTTATACCGTTGTAAGGATACACTACTTCGCTAAATGATGAGCATGATGGCGGGTTGCAATAGACGAGATCCTCCCGACTGCCCGCCCCTTGCTGTTCGATATAGAGGTGCACTCAAAACGGAGCCTTCGCGGCTGCATGTGGATCTTTTTCTGAAGTCGTGCAAGGATGGAATCATGGATACACCTGCTTGGAATGAGAAGGAGAAGTTAACTCTTCCTTCAATCCCTGCGCTCTGACGCGCTTCTCAGAGCCGCAATAGATGGAGATCCAATTTGTATGGCTACCAAGGCGTGAATGTGGGATTAGTCGAATGGAAAACTGGTATACTCTGGTTATTATCCCTTGCCGTCTTCGATATGATGGTGGCATTGGGGAGTAAACGCCAGCACGTGGAATGAAGGCAAGGGACGTAAGATTGTTGTTGTGTGGAGTGCGCTTCAACGCACGGAATGATGCTGGGATTGAATAATCAGAATGAATAGAGCGACTGCTATGGATCAATGTAGATCATAGACAACTCCGTCTTTGAGATATTTCTGAGATGGCGAGGAATACTGTCTATGCAGGGGATGGCCTGGATGCCCTCATTCCTTGGGGTCTGAGGAAGACTAGTGAAGCGATTACTGACGATCTCAGAGTCTTCCGACTGGTCATGTGTGGAGATAGCATCTGTTGAACAAGTCTTCTCAAGACAGGATGAAATGTATAAAGAGCGTTGCTTGTCCGTCCTGACAAGACTTCTTTTCCCTTCATCATCACACTCAGCAAGCACATCCCATCTGATCATCTTCTCTTCACTCTTCAGCAATCCTCATCCATCTTAATCAGCATCATCTGCCACTTCCAAACTTCGACCTTCAAGTCTACCTCAATCTTTTCAAAATGCAGTTCTCCACCGCCGTCATCACCGCCATTGCCATGGCCCTCACCGTCACCGCCGCTCCTGGCACCGCTGCTCCGGTCAAGAGAACCCTCGACACGCTCACCTACGCTGATGCACAGAACGTCTGCGGCCAAAACCTCAGCGTCAGCTGCTGCAACCAGGTCAGCGCCGACACCAATGTCAACGACAACTCGGGATCCGGAATCCTCTCCGGCATTCTGGGTGGCGTCCTCGGCAACGGCGGCTTGAAGCTTCTTGATGGATGCTCCTCCCTTGGAGCTGGAAGTGAGATTCTCCGATACCAAGTGTCTCTCTCTAATGCTAACACTCAGTAGTCGCCAACGACCTCTTGAACAGCAAGTGCAAGCAGAGTGTTGCCTGCTGCAAGTCCGATGGCAACACCGTGAGTCCTCACCGAACTAATATGACGAATTGCAGACTTCAGCTGACTTTGATTTCTTCAGGCTTCCGGTCTCGTTGCTGTCCAGCTTCCTTGCATCCCCATCTCTGGCCTTTTGTAAGGAAATCCAGAGGTCTCCCTCTTCATATCAATGGTTGTTCAACTATTTGGAACTACGGGACTACTCGGCTGAAGGGCACGATGGAGGATTTGGGGTGGTGTATGAGTTCGAGGCAACAAGATGGATTCGATTCGCGATTAGGGTTCTACTCTGATAGATAGCTTTCAAAGGCTTTCAAATATACTTATTTGCTTTCAAACTTTTGCCCTAAGAACATTCAAGAAGAGTAGAATGAATTCTCGAGCAATAGTCCTAGATTCATGCCGGATGGATTATGGATCATGGATGTCAAGATGACGAGTCACAATTTTCATGGTCAATATGCCTACCCATATCTCAAGCAAACACGAGCGGATTTTTCTTTTCGGAAAGCAAAAGCATTACTGTGACGTACCAGGCTGATGTACCCACAGCCTAAATGTCCTATCTCGAGCTAAGATATCACTACCTCTGGGAGAAATGCTTACAGGGTATGTCGGAAATCACGGACATTTTGTCAAGCCGGATACCATGGCTCTAGACTACGCATCTATTCACTTGAGACAGGGCTGATATTAAACGGAAAATAAGAGAAGAACTAAGAGGTACGTCGGAGATTCATCGGAACGCTTCGTTCCCTAGGTGGTGGTTGCCTGACTAATCGGGTTCGTCGGAATTCCGAAGAGTCCCGTACTTAAGCGACGAATGAATACAACCATATCCCTAACTCAAGCGACTTTTGAATTGTATCCGAAGCCCTATGTAGGCATTGCCACGAGGAAGCTCCCGCGAATATTGCGGGGAGCAGCGCGTGCGGAGGTCGGGACGAGCAAAAATCCCGTCGCTAAGGATAGTCGAGTCGATCTCTCAGGAGAGGAGCACGCCTATCTCCTAAGTCCCCGAAAGCGATCATCGTTGCTCTGTCTCGTGTTATAAGATGGACAGAGGACCAATTCTGATACTAATGGCAGAAGAGACATTAAATGCTTCTGCGATACACCCGATATCCAAATCTTTTAACTACAACATTTACATCATGAACCCCTTGAACTCTCAAATCTCCCAAGACAGTTACCATTGGATCTCGAAAGCAATCGATATTTTGGATCCCGAGACAGACTATGAGACCATATGGCGTCTGACATCAAGCTACCAGCTTTCTGACTTCGCCAACAACTTGATCTACACCCTTACCTTCCCCAACTTTGTCATTCCCCTACATGGAGCAGAAGTAGTGTGGCGCTCTGATGGCGGCAAAGTCGTCCATAAAGCCGTCGACAGAGTTGAGAAGACGGAGCACTACAATATGGCGTGGTGGTACTACGGTCCCAGTGATCAACGTTGCCGAGATGCCGTTGAGAGAATCAATCAGCTACACGCTGGGCTCGCGCGACAGTATCCTGGAAGATTTTCCCACAACGAGGACTACGTCTACACCCTGACCTTCAGCGCCGTCTTGATGCATCGCCTGAGGATACGGCTCGGTCTATCAGGTTTCACGGAAAAGCAGCAGATTGCTGCTCACCACTTCTGGCGGGACATGGCTCCTCTCTTCAAAGTCGAAGGCAAAGGAACTGTGAAGGACTATCCAGGAGATTTTGATGGATGTATAGCTTTCTGCGAGGCGTATGAGAATACACCTCGAGAGTACAACGAGAAAGCTCGATACATCGGTTTATCCATCTTCAATCTCTTTGCTTACCGCTATTTCCCACCGGGCCTGCGATGGTTCGGCATGGCGTTCCCCCGAGCGCTTTCTCTGCCAACGACGCTGAGCGCTTTTCGCATCGAGCCGGCCAACCCCTTACTGGCAGCCATAATCATCTTCATCGTGAGAACAGTGTTCCTCGTCACGGAGATCTTGCTGCCCGATCCCAAAATCCCATTCTTCGAAAGATTGGAGACACTGCCAGAGATAGAGGCACAAAAGCGGAAAGAGGAGGTAAGGGCCTTGGACAAGTCCTATGAGCAATTCATCATGTCTCAGTTGAGCGGTCCAGGCTGTCCGTTTAGCGCAAAGATGAAATAGGTATCACAAGCTGGAAACTTGCTACCGAGTATCGGCCAGACAGAAACAATGTCTTGGGCATAATTCCTCAATGATCTATCATCTATCGAAATAATGAACATCTAAGTCGCTCTAAGTCCTAATTGTCTCCTTCTTGAGCCAATCTCGCCAACTCTGGTCGGCAAGAATATGTCTGACTCTAGCCTCGAGCCATTCTGTATTTCCCCAGAAGCCCCAAGATGCCTGGAAGCGGCACCAATCCACCAAGGCAGTCTCCCAGTGTCGCACGAACGTCTCCCAATCATAATTCTCGGGCCCCTTCCCTGTCGGCTTTTGGCTCAGGAGAGTACTTCGATACTGCTCCAGAATAGTCTTCTCACCCTTATCCATGGCTAGCTGATCCGGTATGTCTTCGTGCTGAGTGAGCATCTCAACGGGGACCGAACAGGTGAAAAGCTTAGCGAGATCGCAGCTGCCAATTCCGAGTCCCGCGTACTGGAAGTCGAAGAAAGCCACCTTGTCGCCAGATTGAGTCGTGAAGAGGTTTTCGGACTTGACGTCGCCGTGGATGTATGTCTCAAACGGCCTGCCAGATGGTGTGAGGAAGTCGGCAACTAGCTCGGCAATCGAAGAGGATGAACCCTCGACGGGGTCGCAGAATGCCGAAGACCATTCGGAATAGTCGTCTCTGCAAAGCGATCCGTATTCTTTCCGTCTGGTAGCAAGGTATGTGTACCCTCCGTTCAGCCACATCTTGGGCTCCGTAACGCCATTACCAGCCTCCCTTCGTTTCGCCTCTTCAAGCGGGGGCAGCACAAATTGCCCAAGGTCATCCGGCAGCGACGCCCAAGAGCTGCTATGATACTTTGCCAGCCAGTCCAGCGCAGCATTCACCTGCTTGCGATTGAGGACCAATCTCTTTTCACCAGCCACGGGAAACTCTGGCCGCAGGTCCGTGATGATGGTGGCGGTGAGACCCTCAAGCTCTTCCTTGCGGGGCTTGCCCTCCATATCTAGAGTGGAAGCGAGGCACTTTGCGACAGCGACATCATCTGATAATCGCGGTGCAATCTCTTGGTAGAAGTATTGCTCCACCTCGTAGCTTAACATCTTGCGCAGGTGGCCCTCATCTGTTCCCTTGGCGCGTGGCGGTGAGATGAGTTTGATGATGAGGCGATATGTCCCATCTTCTTCTGAATGGATAGCTAGCGGCTTTTGATTCGAGTTGGCGACACCATTGGTGTTAGCAAGCTTTACAGTGAGGGCACAGATGTGGCCGTAGCCCGCCCAGAGAGTTTGAAGCTCAGTGAGGGAGACGAGCTCAAGGCCTAGCCATGAGAGCATGATTTCGGCGACATGACGAGGCTGCTTGAGAGAAGCCATGGCGATGGAGAATGTGGCTGCCGCGAATACCAATTGAGTGCTGCCAATGCTGATTCCCGTGAATGGCGCCTGAGCGATGAGATGAGTGAAGTTGGATGAGAGTTGATGAGGTTCAGTGAGCGCCACATCCATTTCGAGAACGTTTCTCAGGTGGGTCCCGATAACTTCGTCCAGTCTCAAGCTGCCATGGACTCAATAAGGAGTAAGAAAATTCGCAATAGCTGCGCGAGTTTGTGAATTCCGAAACTTGAAAAGCCGATTGGAAAACAGAACTTGAAAAGCAAAATTCAGAACTTGTCAGCGCAGCTGAAAGTAAGTTGTCAATCACCTAACATCTCATGCAAGTCCTGGCTCGGCGTTTATCAGCCCTACAAATTATGCTTGCGCAGCTGGCGCCACCTGGGGAGAGCAAGTGGGAGAAAATCCGAGCACAAACATGTCACTCATCGTCATTGTAAACTTGCTCACTCTCACGACCTCACCATTAGACTCCCAACGTTGACCGGCCAAGGTATCGGGGTAGAATAAAGCCAACAACACGTGGTTGGGGAGTCTGGGATAATCTCAGCGATCTGCCCTCAGGCCATCAAGGTGCCCTTCAGCCCCACCGCAAGATACTCCTACTAAAGGCGGACTTCAAGACGTCGTCGTCAGCTCCCGTATCAAGAGCATAAAGTTCTGTCTTCACGAATTCATTTCGCCTCTCATACTTAAAAAAACATGGGCCGAACGCAACCGTCAGTTGGGCAGCCACCGGCGGCCTTTCGGAAAGCCGCCCGAGCCAAGAAGGCCAAGGTCACCCTCAATCAGCTAATTCCATCACTCCTCTCTACGCACCCACGAGCCCGGCGCGGAATCGACTCAGCCGAGCTGATCATCCATCCTGAGTTAGCGATCAAGGAGAATCGAACCCCCAAGGCAGAAGGCGCTGATGTTTCGGAAACCAACGGGCCAATTCACATCAGACTCCAAGTTGCCGACACTCTTACAGCTGCTCACGCCTTGGTGACTGAGAAGGCGGAATCAAATCGCCCGGTAGACATAAGTAATAAAGAGACGCGGGTTGCGATTCTCAACATGGCCTCACCTCTTACGCCGGGTGGTGGCTTCGTCAATGGTGCCGGTAGTCAGGAGGAGTCATTATGCATGCGGACTACGCTGCTGCCATCTCTCAAAGACGAGTACTACCGTCTGCCAGAGCTCGGTGCTATTTACACACCAGATGTACTGGTTTTCCGAGATGAAGATGCGGACGACGTGTTGGAGAAAAGAGACCGATGGTTCGTGGACTGCATCAGCGCCGCCATGTTGCGGAATCCAGAAATTGAGCGAGACGAGGACACTGGTTTCAGCCACTACGTTCAAGAAAAAGACAGACAGCTCATCCTGGAAAAGATGAAGATTGTGCTGCGGATATGCCAGCTCAAGGGCATCAAGAAGATTGTGCTCGGTGCTTGGGGATGTGGTGCCTACGGGAATCCAGTCGCCGAAGTGGCCAAGGCGTGGAAGAAGGCGCTACTACCGAGGAACGACGGAAAAGGGAAAAAGAAAGGGAACAAAGGGACATGGAGCGGGATCGAAGGAGTCGTCTTCGCGATCAAAGATACCGGCATGGCCGACGCCTTTCAAGAGGCTTTCGGGAAGGGCATTGAGAGAGACGTAGAAGCCGAGGTGGATGAGCCCGATGAGGAGATTGATATCGCTCAAAAGAACAAGGAGGAGCTTCAAGCAAGGATTGCCGAGTTACAGCAGCGCATCGATGCCACACCAAACCCGCAAGTCAAGACGGGCCTCAACTCAATTCTTGCTGGGTTGATAAGCCAACTACCCGCTGATTCGGGAAAAGAAACTGACGAAGAAGAGGATGAAAGAGAGGGAACAGCGGACGACAGCGGCGATAGTGACGCAGGTTCAGACGAGGCATGAGTCTAGCCATGAATTATGATCTATTGATAACACTATTGGCCCCTGAAGATGTGCCCCAGCTCACTGTCGGATTGTGTTCCTCCAATTAAGAATCAAGACTGGCTACAAGAACGGTTAGAAAATGCCCCCATGTCAACGTCGGACAAAATAAGCTGAGGTGTTACCTGCCATAGCTTCGTAATACATGCGCGACTAGCTGTGATTCGTACAGCCTCGGTCAATAACTCCCCTGCTGGATATTTCTGCCGGTATAGCCGATGAACCGATGGACTAATCCCGGCCGAGGCTATCATCATCAAGTGCAGGGCACATCGCCATCTGATGGTTGATGCAGTCATCTGTTATGGCCAGTGCGGTACTTTCGAACATTCCTCTCAGCTCTCGCCAGCTCTGTTATCATTAGCAGGACAGTTCAGCAAACCACGTAGTCTTTCTCAATACTGTCGCTGATAGGCAAAACGGGAACATCCAATACTACCCATTCTCCAGCGCATGGGGTTGTTCAAGGTTCCTAAGACTGAACCTGCACGACTTCTATAGCTCTTCCTTGAGTTGAATTAGGCGTCAACGTAATTACTTCGTGTTGGCGAGTGATTTCGAAGACACAACGTAACTAGAATCATGAAACTCTGCAATCGTCTCATTGCAACATGTCATTGAGTATGAACTACCTGAGCTTCTAGAGCCTAACTTAGGTCGTTGTCTATAACAAAGATCCTTCATCTTCTACAAGTTGTGGACGGTGCTGTTCCTAGTCCACCTACGGAATGTCTTGCCATAGAAGTAAAATATCGTCCCGCAAGCACAGAAAAAGACGGTCAGCGCCATGTTAGTCATGAAAGCCGGTATGAACCTATTTGTGTCAGCATATGGTATCGGCCAAAAGAGAGAAGCTTAACTGACCCTGCCTGTATTGTCCAAGGGGTAATGAATTTACCCATGCCGTATCCCCACACGTTCTTGTTCACCGTGATAGCAACCATGAGAGGACCAGTCACTGGCTTGTAGCAGTCGATGGCGTAGGTGCTGGCGATACTGGGTAAAGCAGCAACCTGGATGCCTGCGCTGGCGTAACCGAGGACTACGATGATAGGCCAGGACCAGTGGTTCTGATATCCAATAGCGGTGATAATATTACCAAATATCATGATGATCACGAATGGAATCATAGCAGGGAGACGCATCTCAGGCTCGCGGATGCCGTTGTTTCGAGCAGTCGCGCGGGCGGATACCCAATCGCTAAAGGGGCCAGCGGTGACGAGTCCAATCAGCGCACCAACAAGAACTGCCAGATTGGTAAAGCCTACAAGAGTTAGTCTCATACAACAATTGTGGATGCGATTTTAGGTTTACGAGGCTTACCGATAGACTGCGAGCTCATATTATAAGGGGGTGCTGCGAAGACTTGAGACTGCGTGAGGTTTAGAATGAGGAAGTTGCTACAACTCCAGCTCACAACAAACGACGCAAATACCACAATGGGGAATCCAAAAAGCTTCCAGGGAGTCCAGAGGTCGAACCAGATGGTCTTAAGGGGCGAAGAGTTGCGTTGGAACAGGTACCACTGCTGCTTAGAGGGGGTTCCCTTGCCAAGGTACGGGTCCATGTCCGCAGTCCGAGTGGGGTTCAATGTCTCGTCGGCAACTTCGATTGTGACAGCGTCTTGAGTTGGCTGAGAACGAATCCATCTTGTCTCTGGGAAGCCAAAGAAGGCGTAGACAATGGAGGCACCTGTCAGCGCAACGTTGAGCCACCAAAAGTTCTGCCATCCAACATGATCCGCCATCGGGCCCGCAATAACCGGCGCAATCTGAAAGGGTTAGCCAAGACTACCTCCCACAGCCATTAAAGCTGGACCCACCATCAAAGATCCCATATAAACGACCCAGTATAGTGTATTCCAGCGGCCACGGTCGTGTAGGAAGTAAATATCGGCGATGACTTGCGGTTGCAGAGTCTCTGAGGGACCGGCGCCGATACCGTTAAGTCTAAAATGCAGTCAGCTTGCATTTCAATACTGGAGAATATGAAGAATCAGAACTTACACGCAAGCACCCATGAAAGAGCCGTATGTTGTGGCTTTCGCTCGAAGAACATGAGACGCAAGACAGACTAATTGAGAAACAATAAAGACTGGGCGTCGACCAAATGAGGACGAAATCGGAGCCCTTGCAAGGGTTAGCCATGGCTTTGAAAAGCTAAATATCCTTTTGTGGCCTTACCATATAAAATTGCTGAATCCAAGCAGCAGAATGGTCACTCCCGTAAACTGAATGACGTCTTCTAGGTTGCTGTTGTAGTCTCGAATAAGGTATGGAAACATGGACGCAAGAGACAATGGAGCAAAGCCTTGCGAGAAGGTCATTAGAGAGACCGCGCCCAATGTAGACCACTTCCATGATGCTTTCCAATTCAAAGGGTCGTGCGGGTCCTGGGATGGTTGAGGGACAAGAACCACCGTCGAGTGTTCGCTCTTGATGAGATGATGCTTCAACACATCGGCCATGACCTCAGTGCCAGGCACGACCTCGATGTGAAGCTCATGTTCAATCTCCTCGCGGGTCTCAAGGAACATGTTAGCGGAAATTCGTACATGAAACAATGCTGGACTTACTGTTTTTTCCGGATCTTTCGACATGGTTGCGATTTTTTTGGCTTGCGATTCTACGTCTCGGACAGTGATGCGATGAAAAACCACGGTGATGGATTGGAACAAACGTCGTAACATCGGGGCGCGGACGTGGGCAATAAATGTAGATACAGGCCTGGCCACATCGACCGATACAGTCGAATTACCGACGCGATCTGCGACATCAACCTGTCGACGGCACAACTACGCGTCTAGTGTTACCATGATCCTGGGTTGACCAACCTCAAACATTCGGCATGTCGTCGCGGCAGCTGCCTACGCTCAGATATCAAAAGCCGAACCACTAGGTTGAACTCTATGAGCTCTCCCCACGCGACGGCAGGGGGAAGAATGCGGGGAAATCTGGAGAGAGGCCTAGATGGGGCAAGGTGAACTTCAGCTCATCTGACAGGCTCTCATGAAATCTATCACCGGAGCTAAGGTCAAGCAGCCATCCCAGCATTACATGGGGTTGACCAATCACCCCGTCGCCGTTTTTGAGGAGGGTGTGCCGACAGCTTAGCATCAGTCCTATACATCCAAATCGGCACCATGTTGCCGGCATCAAGACAGGGGATGTCACCCCCAATCCTCCGACATTTTTTTGGAAGGAGCTTTATCATTCCGTGGGAAATACTTGCGCGCGGCTTGGCGATTCTTGCGGTATTGGTCCATACGCCTACCAACGCAGCAAGTCTGCGGGTTATGATCAAGCTTTGATAAGACCGCGGCCCCTCTCAACCTCACGAGGAAGAGTTGCCAATCACTGTTTCAATCCGAACCTACGTTGCACGGGAGTAAGCGCGTGGGGAAGAGCCCTTGCAAAACGGCTTGAACTTTGCCGAGAAATCTCCTCTTGACGATTCCAGGGTGAAGACCGTTCTCATTTGGTCTAGTCACTCCACGTGCCCAGACAAACATGGCCAAGCGAAGAATTCTAGTCCGTCATCTCTGGGTGCCGACGCTAAGGTGCCGACAGAAATCGATGCACTGACACCATGGTCTTTTGGGAAGCCATTTACCTCCCCCAAGGGCAATTTAAGAGATATTTTGAAGTGCCGAAAGGAGTGCGTTGACTATTAGGCACGACAGAGAGCCTAGACCAGCGACGTGTTGCCCATTTTCTCTATTGGTTCAGGTGATCCGAAGGTGAAAGAAAGGCATGCTCAGACTGGGAAGAAAACGAGGGAGAATAATGACTCAGTATCTACCATTAGCCCGATTCATAACCCAGCGCTTTGTGGTCATGGAATCGTGCGAAAGCTTGTACTCAGAGAGCTTCGGAGCATTAAAGCTCGCTTCATTGAATGACTCACTCCATCTGCGTAAATCTCTCGGAAGACTCTCGGAAGTCTCAGTACATAGCTCAATGTCCCGGATACTCCTCACTCTACGGAATGCAAGTCGGTATGGAGGCCAAGTTCTAGCAACTAGGAGTACAAACGAAATCGCACCTTGTATCCTCGAATCTGATCGAGAATACCACCCCCTCACAGACGCCAGTCCATGGCCACAGTAGATCCCTCTATCCAATCGGAATTTAGAAACATCACGAAGTTCCATATGCAGGCGACGACGCTTCATTTAGCAGACATGTTGACGGGCCTAACCCGAGGAAGCGTCTTAGCCATGGGTGGCCACCCGTCTGCTTGGGATGCACTAGCCATCCCTCAGGGTTACTCGGCAGTCTTCTGGGAAGTATAACATGACCAGTCTGTCTCGTCCTACGTACTTCCACGCACCCTAATTATGAATGATGCCCCTGGATCCGTGCCCCTTGCCATCGACACCATTTAAGTGTCAATGGTCAGCTGACACTTTAGCACCCCCTAGCCGAGTCTTTTCCAGATTGACCATCGCGAAGACCATGGCGAAGGTTCGTTCCTTCTCGCGTATTTGGTGGAGCAAGACTATTTCTGTGAATGATGGGGTCCTGAGTCGTCGCCGGCACTTGTATGTCGGACAGAGGGTTCCTCACTTGCTACAAGCAGATGGTCTGCAACAATGCCCATGAAGTACGGGTCAGCGCCATGGATTCTATAGTAGTATTTAACCTGTGAAGTTTTATATTTACTGCGGGATACTCGCATAACAGTTCTCAATAAACAAGATTTGCTCAAGCGTGGAGGTGGGTGGGCTGCGGCTGCCGTAAACACACCTCCTGTTCAGACCATGATGTTCGACCTCTGCTTTCCACACAATGCACGCACTTGAAGATTGGACATGTTCATTCTTCTTGCAGCCTATTCGGTGGTCATGTTCTTCTCAGGGGGTTAAGAAACCGACCATGAAATTCGATGAACCTAGAAGCTTGTCGCTAGCTGCGTACGTGGTCTGCGTGATGCAGGAATTCCAGATCAGTCAAATCCCCATTGGACAGGGCAGTTAAAGTGCCCTATCCTACTATGATCCATGTGGACCGCTTGAAAGAGGGACTTACATAATGAGAGCCAACTAGATTTACACGTTGATCGCTATAACTGTCCCTTCAACAAGCAACAACAACATGCATACTCTTTCATAAGTGATAAACAATTCCTGATCTATGTTGTAGGAGGGCCGAAGGAAGAGATTCTCCAGGGGTCCACGAATCAGATCCTTGATTCATCGTTATTTCACAGTTCTCATCTACGTTCGTGAGACTTGAGTTGCCTACAGCTTTCAACCAAGCTGGCCCGAGAAACATAAGTAGCCATCTTTTGCCCTTGTTATATGTTTGTAGATGGTTCTGTCCCGTCATCTTCGCAGACAACCGTGCAGTTTGAGTCGTAGATTACCTCTCCTTCTTACCTTGAGATGACGAAGAGAAATTTTCGCAATGACTTACTCCGGCCGCTCCAACAAAGCCTCTGTTCGAGACTGTCTCCAATCGAACTACTCTCAAATTTCGGTTGAAACACTCGTGGAAAATCAACCTCAAATATCGAAGCAATGATTGAGTCCAGATATATCACTAGATTCTGCCAGTCGGCGCGACCCGAAACGCAGTGAAGAGAAGGGGGGAAGTTCGGAGGTACTTGGTGGCGAAGATGGCAATCAAAAAGTCGCAACTGGCCTGATAAGATTGTCACATAGTTTTACCTCAGTCGCCGACAATGTTGATATAGCTAGGTGCTGTCTGACAATCCCATTTGTAACATGAGCGGGCCTGCTTGATAGGTCCAACAAGCACATTGCACCTCAAGCTCGTACTGAGCATGGTTTCAATGGAAGCTCACAAAAATTCCTTTGCTGCTGCAAATTCTGATCAACAGCGAAGCAGCAGCAGTCTCAGAATCAACGGACTAACACGATAATTCAGAACCAATATTGTGCCGGCTTTACTCAGCACGAGTCGCCCCCTCGCTCCGGCGTCCGAGCACGGGGAGTGGGACGGACAGTTAGCGGGTATTGGCGCATCCGGAAGACCGATCATGGTGACTAAAGCGCCTTGAACCCCCAGTTGAATCGGCAAAAGACGTCAAGACCGAGAACGAACTTTTAGGCCTCGCAGAATGACGCAGCTGCACGCAATTAGTAATGTAGAACCTATACTGAATCATGTAGGGAAGTAGAACGGCAAACTGAACCCGCTTACATGACGAGGTTCTGTTACAAGAGTTACTAGGCAGTATGTGCACGTCGACTATCCAATTGTCAAGTATGCTAGTCAGCAAAGTGACTTCAACGGCCTGATACCACGTTTTAGTTCCGGTACAGCTCCGACTTCAATTATCATGGGATTTCTAATTGCGGGAGAGTCGAAAATAGCTGTGCCCTTCTCCGCTCGGTGATGCTCGGACTCAAGAATATCCGAGGGATCAAGCAATTCGCAGCCTGCAGCAAATCAGTTTTGTCAACAGGATTTTTATATATACATCGCCAAAGGCTTACTTCACCTCTCAGAATACACTTTTCACAACACTATAACCATCAAGCAGCATTCACCAGCGACTCTCTGGGTTAATTTGTGCCGATCAAACATAGTCAAGCTCCTCTAAAGCTCAAACTTCACCATGACCGAAACCGTTCTTGTCTTCGGTGCCACGGGTAACATTGGCGTAGCAGTCATTATCGGCGCTCTGCGCGCCAAGCGCCATGTCATCGCTGTTGTGCGCAGTCAAGCTAGTGCCGAGAAGATGTTCAAGTACGTCGGCAGTCGCGACAACATCACCGTTGTTGAAGCCGATCCTACTTCTGAGGACTCTCTCCGAGGAGTCGTCGACCAAGTCAGGGCTGGCAAACTCCCTGCCTTCCAGCATGTTTGGGCCTCGCGTACGTTTTACAAAACTTCACAAGATTCATTCTACGTAGGCTAAAATGACGTTCATGACAGCTGGTGGACTCTACTGGGAGACCCCAATTTTGGAGATTGACCCAGCGGCTCTCCGCGAGGTTCTCAATGTCAACTTCGAGTCGTACTTCTGTGAGAAAACTCCAAAAACCATTCACAGCATCCGAAGTTTGACTGAAGACTCCGATTGCTAATCATTCACCTAGATGCCTATCGCGTGACAGTCCCATACTTGCTTGAGCAAGGGTTTGCTGGCAGTACTTGGACCTTATGTACGGGTGCTCAGGGCGACTATGGTTTCCGCGCTGCTCCCGCAGTGACGCAGGGTGCACTGTTCAGCTTCGCCATCGCTGCGTCTCGGGAGAATGAGAAGACGAACATCCGCTTTAACGAGGTCTACCTCGCCTACCGAGTTCAATTTGAAGTTGATGAGGAAACCAGAAAGGCTTGGGCTGGAGCTCACTTGACCACCTGTGACGAGTTTGCTCCGTTGTACCAGCAGCTTCTGGATAGAGAGGATATCAGGGGCAGCAGAGTCAAGGCCATCACTCCGAAGGATGTCCTGCAACTCTCCGTCGAGAAAAGATACAAGGCCTGACCATGTAAGACAAAAGCTACAACTAGATTGCAATGATGATAGGTTACATAAGAGATGCCTAAGAATCTCGATTTTCACATTCAGGGAAACCGAAGACTAAACTTTACAGATTATGCATGACAGATAGAGCTCGATAAT